CGGTCTTCAACACAGCGCCAGGGCCACTCAACGGAGAAAGAGCAGACTCTCCCACAAACAGTGCAGGGATAGCCGGACAGGCACATGCAAAGGACAAAGTTGGACCCTTACCTCAAATCACATATAAAAATTAACTCTAAATGGATCAAAGACCTAAATAAGAGCTAAAACTATAAAACTCGTACAGGAAACCGTAAGTGTAAATATTTATGACCTTGGGTTTGGCAATAATTTCTTAGATATGACAGCAAAAGTACAAGCAACAAAAGAAAAAAATAGAGAAACTGGTCTTCATCAAAATGAAAAACACTTGGGATCAAAAGACACCATCAAGAGAGTGAAATAGATCACAGAATGGGAGAAAATATTTTCAAATCATGTGAATGGTAAGGGCCCAGTATTCAAAATATAAAGAATTCTTACAACTAAACAACAAAAAAGACAAACAACCAAGTTTAAAAATAGGCAAAGGACTTGAACGGACATTTCTCTAAAGAAACACAAATGGCCAACAGGCACATGAAAAGATGCCTAATGTCATTAGTCATTAGGAAATGCAAATCAAACCACAAGGACATACTACTTCACACCCATTAGGATAGCCACATATATACGAAAAAAAGAAAATGGAAAATATCAAGTGTGGATGAGGATGTGGAGAAACTGGAGCACTCATATCTTGTTGGTAGGAATGTAAGATGGTGGAGGAGCCGTGGAAAATAGCTTGGTGGTTCCTCAAAAGCTCAACACAGAATTACCATGTGACCCAGTCCTGGGCATACACCCAAAAGAACTGAAAACATATGCCCACATAAAACTTTGTACACTCGTGTTCACAGCAGCATTATCCATAGTAGCCAAAGGGTGGAAACAACTCAAGGGCCCATGAACTGATGGACGAATGTGGTATATCAGAACAGTGAAATAACATTCAGCAACAAAACAGGACTGAAGCACGGACACATGCGACAACTTAGATGAACTCTGAAAGCATTATGGCAAGTGAGAGAAGCCGGGCCATATATTATGATTCCATTTATCTGAAATTTCCAGAACAGGCAAATTCATAGACAGAGATCTGATCAGTGGTTCCCAGGGGCTGGGAGGAGGGGAAAGTGGGGAGTGACTGCTTAAAGGATATGAAATTTCCATTTGGGGCGAGAAACGAGTTCTGGAACTAAATAGCAGTGATGGTTGCACAACATCATGTCTGTGCCTAATGACACTGAATTGTACACTTCAAAATGGTTAAAATGGTAAATTTTATGTTATGTGTATTTTACCACAATAAAAAATAAAATACACAAATACTTTAAAAGTCTAATACTCTTTGAGCATTGATCTATACAAATATAACTGTTTCAGATCTTTCTTTAAATTTTTGCTTTCAATTTTCTTGTCCCTATCCAGAGTCAGTATAGTGAAGGGGAAGAAAATACTGCCTTCGGGGCTCAGCAAAGGCTCCCTCCCAGGCAGGTCTGCTGCTAGGCTGGTATGCAGCCCCACCAACTGTATGAAAAGAGGCCAATTCTCCCTGAGCCTCAGTTTCTTCATCTGTAGATGAGAGAATAACATCAATTATTCAGGGTCATGAATATTGACAGTAACACTGACATAAGAAATAAAGGAGCTGCCACTCACCAAAGTTATGACAATAAAAAAGAAACAATTGTAACGGACTGAAAAACACTTAACAATGAAATACCATGAGTCCATAATGACAATCAATTGAAAGAGAGCCAGAAAAACAATCGCCACTGTTCACAGCTACTTTTGAAACGCCTTACTTTTTTTTTTTTTTTTTAAAGATTTTATTTTTTTCCTTTTTCTCCCCAAAGCCCCCCGGTACATAGTTGTATATTCTTCGTTGTGGGTTCTTCTAGTTGTGGCATGTGGGACGCTGCCTCAGCGTGGTCTGATGAGCAGTGCCATGTCCGCGCCCAGGATTCGAACTAACGAAACACTGGGCCACCTGCAGCGGAGCGCGCGAACTTAACCACTCGGCCACGGGGCCAGCCCCTGAAACTCCTTACTTTTAAAATTGATCATTGAGGGAAAAGAATTAAACACTCATCTTGTTTTTCCAGGAGGAATTATATTTTGGGGTGATCCAACAATTCCCAATGATGATGAAAAGCTTTTCAGAGGAATGTTAGACACAAAAGTAAAAGGAATACAGACTTAAAATGCATTTCACAAACTCCAACGCAAATTTTAATGTGGGTAAGAATCAGCAACTGGTATTAAAACAATTAGAATTGGACGGTCATACTGTAAAACCAGCAAATTATTTTGTAGTTGCAAGAGGGGCCAGAATCTTAGAAGACATCAACCATCATCACCTTAACCCAATGGTTAACCTTAACTCTACTAGTGGTGGGCCAGACATCGTGCCTGCTGGTGTGCTACAGAGAAACTAGATCAGTGGTTGCCTAGGTTTAGGAAGAGAGAGGGTTGGGGTTGGGGGTGACAGCTAAAGGGCGCAGTTTCTTCTTGGGGTGATGAAAATGTTCTAAAACTGATTGTGGTGACGGTTGCACAACTCTCTGAATGTACTAAAAACCAATGAACTGTAAACTTTAAATGGGTGAATGGTTTAGTCATGTCCATTCTCTCTCAATAAAGCTGTTACCCCCAAAAAATCATGTGTGGCTATATCCAGGACAAGTCAGCTTCAACACAAACAAAATAAAGAATACATCATCTATAGAAAAGAAAAGGGGATTTGAGAAAAATTAGGTACTCCAAAATATTAAACACAAAGAATATAGAATCTAAATAAAAAAACATATTAGAGAAAAATAAGGTAGTCAACAATATCTTCTTCCTCCATTTTAGCTGAAAATAAACATTTACATAGTATCACAAATGTGCGCACAGTGAACACAAAAGTGACAGCAGTGAAAAACGTTGAGAAATTATAGCTCCAGCCCTATAACACTGAACTACCAAAATTTTAATCAAAGTGTCGTGGTGTTTTTACTGCTGTATCTCAGAAGGTAGCATAGAACTTCAGCCTTGACTTTGGCTGAATAGTTAAGATTAATGCTCGGTCATTTGAGATCCAGCCAAATGTGCATTTACTGCACCTGTATTCTGATGGTCTATCTCACCTTTTTTTAACAATTACTTTGTTGAGGTCACACTGGTTTAAAACATTGTGCAAATTTCACGTGTACATTTATATTTCAGCTTCCGCATAGACTGCATTGTGTTCACCACCAACAGTCTGGTTTCCATCTGTCACCGACCACACGTGCCCCTTTGCCCTCCCCCAGCCCCTTCCCCTCTGGAACCACTGATCTGTTCTCCTCATCCACGTGTTTATCTTTCACGTACGTATATCTCGCCTTTTGCAGTGAGAAAATCTAGTCTAGTGACATGTTTGGACCCTTTATCTTTCTCTCTTCTTTCTCCCATTTCCTCCTCCTCTTCTGTTACCCCTGCTTACCAAGAGACCAGGTCAGCGAGAAAATCGAGAATACTTCAGCCAAGCCCAGGATGTCATCTAGCAGCAGAAAGTCCGCCAGAACAGGGGACATCCCCACCCAGTCACTGGCTGGGCCTAAGAGAAGGCTGGCCGCCACTGGCAAGAAGCTCTAAGGCCTAAGCACAGACTCGGTGTGGCTGTGGGCCCGCAGACTACAGCCTCGCCCCAGGCCCCGCGGGCCATGGGCACCTGCTCCACCTGCGAGTCGCCTCCCTGTGGGGACAGGAGCCGCGCCCCTGTACCAGCCCACCCGCCTGCACCCTGATCACCTGCTGAGTCTTCGTGAGGCTCTCTCCCCAGAGGCTGATCCTGTTTCCTCTCCTTTTTCACCCCATTCTACCTCTTCCCTCCCATGCCCAGCTCTGATGGGAGCTCTTCAAACAGGACTACCCCCTGCCCCAGGACCATAGCGCCTCACCCTGCCCTCTGGGCCTGCCCTTCTGCCCCAGCCCTCTGTGATGGCACCGCACAGACTGAGGCTGAGTCCCGGAGGGACACTCGTGCCTGGGTGAGTGAATGCAGGTCACCCATGCTGGGCGCCCAGGGCCTGGCAGCCTGACTAACACACGTCACGTCTCCAGGGCACCTAGGACTTCTTACCCAAAAATGCACACGATGCTGATGTGACAAGATAACACTGCTTTTTAATGAAACCAGTATCTTTCGCATTTTTTCCCCTTTTTCTCTTTCCATTTAAGTAACTAGGCTGTTGTGTTCTCATGGCCACAGAAAGGTACATTATAACCAAACCAGAACTTTCTTTTTTACAAGGAGCCTCTTCCCGGCATTTACGTTTCTCTGCCTAGACCCTTCCTTCAGGAACAGAAAGGACTCATAACACAGACTGAGACTTGGAAGAATTTTATAAAGGAAGCCAACCTCTCCCTAAAACTCAAAAGATAGACCGGAAACTTCCACGACGCCAAACACACAGTCAGGGTCCACAGACGACACAGCGCCTACTCAAGGCAACATGTGCCCAGCTTACTTCCAGGGAGCTCTTCCCTCCAACGGCAGCCCAGTACTTCTGCCCCTTGGTTGTTCCGGAAGAAATGATGCTTCTCCGTACCCAGGAGCTCTGTATCCTTCCCCACCCCAGTCCCATCACAGGCATGGACTATAAGCACTTCCCAGCAAACGGGAGACCTTTGAGTTCTCTCCCAGGAGGAAACGCCACGTCTAAGCCATGTTGAAAATGCCTGAGCCAACACAGCGGCAGCCTCTTCCACTCCTCAAGGACCAGTGACCTTCACCTCGGGTAGCCTCTTTCTCATGTAGATACACGTGCTTTTCAGCTCATCTCCCATTTGCCCCTTTGGGTTACTTTGGGAAACCCTCCCTTTCCTGCTCTCTCAATAGAATCACATGAATAACCAGTTGCCTTGGGGAACCCAAAACAATATTTTAAGCTAATTTTAGGCCACCCTTGAATCCCATTTATGAAGCTGTCTTTAAAGGAAAAAAAAGAGGAGTTCAACTTTGGAAGAAAAAAATACAACCGGGAACCGTGTATTTTGAAACTCGAAACAGGCAGAACAATTTATTGCTCTTAAGTTGGTTGATCCTACAAATCTTGGTCAATGTTTAATGCAACCTAAAAGCAAAATAAAAAGTAAATATGCTTTAATACAACAAGCCAAAGAAAATAGAGTTTAGGTAATTTCTATCTGACTATGTATATAAAACTTTTTGATAGTTTCAAATTATTTCAAATAAAATCCAAATTCAATATAATAACCATTGTGTTCTCAACGTATTTATTAACCCATCCTTTCTTCTACTTCCCTTGCTATACTCTTATTGTCATCCTTGTCTTTCTTGCAAGGGTCGTCTTCCTGTGCCCACCCCTTAAATGTTGGAATTTCTAATGGTTTCACCCTGAGCCCGCTCCTTCACATTCTGCAAGCTCTCCCAGGTACCCACTCACTCTCCTAGCTTCACTTAGTACAGATGCCGGCGAATGCTGCATTCCCATATCCTGCTGGGAGCTCTCTCCTGCCTTCCAGACCTGTATGATACAGTCACTGGTCTTCAGCCATTTTCACCTGCATATCTCAGAGTCACCTGAAACTCAACATGGGCTCAACTGAGGCCATCATTTTCACAAAACCAACTTCCTCTTCCTATGTTCAACAAATGATAAAGCTCAAAAAATGGTAAAGAGTCCAGTTGTCCAAGGCAGAAATCAGGGCATCATCCCAACTTCTTTCTCCCCCTTATCCTCCCAGCCAATATGGAATCCACTCCACTGTCCCCAGCTCTGCTGTCTGCACCCTGGTCCGTGGGCTGGTCATCTTGCATCGGGATGACTGTAAGAACCTCCCAAGTGGTCTTCTGTTTCCACTCCTGTCTATGCAAATCCTCTCTCCACCTTCTAAAAACACACGTCTAACCCTTACACAACCCTTCCAATGACTCCCACCAAAGTCCAAAATCCCTGACACGGCATACAGAGCCCAGGGTGATCTGGCCTCTAACCCCTCGCCAGCTTCAAATCACACCATTCTCCCAGCTCCACACAACCTACCAGAATACTCGACCATTTCACATCCTCCAAAGCATCTTGCTTTCTCCATCCGCTGGGTTTATCTCAGGCTGATTCCTTAAAACTCATTTCCTCCAGAAGACTCGTCCAGGCTTGGTCAGGTTTCCCTGCTCTGGTCCATTGGTTCCACGGCCCCCAAAGGGCAGGAACCACTCTGTTTTGTTCACTGGAACTTTCCAGCTCCCTGCATAGCACCAAAACACAGCAGACACTTAATAAAAATTTACCCACTGACTGATTATGATGAGCACCAAGTCTTTCCAGTTCCACTTTCCAAACAGCTCTTAAAAACACCATTTACTGCTTCAGGCCACCAGTGTCATCTCTCTCTAGATTACTATGATGGCCTGCTAACAGGTCTCCTCAAAGCTATTACCCATTCTCTTCACTCGCTGTAGCCAGGTGGCCGTTCTCATCACATCGGCCTCCACTGCCTTGAGGCACAAACTGGACATCTGAGCACAAATCACAAGCCCTGTTGTGAGCCAGCCCCCCTCTCTCTCCCGCCTCCCCTCTAGTTCCTCCTGGCCTCACACTCTCCAGATATGTTCTCCTCCCGCTGGGTCTTCACACGTTCTCCTCACCCCATCACTGAGGGTGATGCCTGCCCTGACCAGGGTCCTCAGCTGGGTGCTGTCCCACCTGGTCAGTGCACAAGGCGAGTAAACGTACCACCTGCAGACAGCCCCAGTCCACACCTGCTGACCTGCCTCAACCATCAGTAGCTCCTCTCTCACTTCAAAGGATGCCGGTTTGCACACTAAGTTACCTGTCACTCTATCAGTGACTAATAACTGCTTGTCCAATTGTCTGTTTCTCCCCTAGACAAGGTCAAAAACTGTTTTATTCACAACAGGACTGGGCACCGTACCTGGCACATACAAAACACTGTGTGTTTATGAAACAAACAAATGGACTTACATCCTGTCAAAGCAGACACTTCCACTGGGATATTTATTTTTCCAGGGTTCACTTCTGAGAACCAAAATGTTGGCCCCAAAAACTTAATTTAAAGATTATATATTTTGCCAAATGATTTCAAATATATGTTTTGAAGACATTTTGAAATTTTCAAAGCCTAACTTCAATGTATATGGATCACCCTCTGCACAGGAGGGCAGGCTGCTATCTCAACATCAGCTCCCAGCTACTTCCCATCCGCTCTGCGCATTTGTACGGGGCCAGACAGGCACCCACCCTCACCCGGGGCCAGCAGCACACGTGCACCAAAGGGCAGGAGGTCACTGAGGGATCCAGTCCGCACCCAGGAGCTGGTTTTCTTTCTTTGAAGCAAAAGGCCCAGTTGTCAACCAAACCCCAGCTCATCCGCGCTAGGGTTTCCAACATGACAAACTGGTCTTTCACCACTTTCCCAAAGACACTCACGTCGGACAGCATCGGCTCATCGAGCTCCTCCACTCTGCTCAGGTTGGGCGCGCCGTATCGATCACTGATTTCAGCGAGCGTCTTGCCTGAGTCTGCTGCTGCGTCCTACAGTCGTAAAGCCAGTTTTACTTTTAAATGACTTCAAAGATAATATATTAGTTTTCTTTCCATTTTGATAAGAAATTTCTGAATTATAACATCAAAATTCAACACTGTTAATTAATGGAATGAACCAATACTCATTAATGACCAAAGAATTCTAGAAATAAACACTAAGACTTATTAAAAAAGTACATTCAAAAATTTACAATATACCACTGTAAGTAATCGTGTGGTCAATATCTCACAATATTCTAGTTTTTGAAAAGACAAGGGCAAACTGAATGTCCAATTTTTATCCATTTTGAGATTTTCCTTTAAAGTGCATCATATTTGTGAGTTGTCATTACTAGCATACATACTTGGACTATCAGCTTCGATAATCTTCTTACTAACAATTTAGCTATTAACATATCAGAATTAACCTTGACATTCCAGGACACTCACTCCTTCCACATAACACAGAATAACTTCTCCTTCTCACCTCTGAATGTGAAGTATCTTCGCTCTTAGCCATACTGTCCATATCCAGTCTCGCCTCCTGTAATACATAAAAATGAAGAAAAACACTTGGAATACTCTTTTAATCTTGATTCTATGTTTAATTTTCAAGCATTTCTCTTTTCACACAATGCTAGGATCCATTTAACAGCAAAAACGTTGTCCTCTTAAGCAGTGATCCAAATACACTCAATACACAACTGCAGACCAGTCTCACTTAATACTTTATACCAACAGCAGATGGCTGTGCTTTGCTTATAATTACATACAACTTTTTAAAAAAATGAAAGGGGCTGAAACATTAAACCTGAAGCCAAATTATTAGCAAACGTGAAAAGTGACCAAAAATTTTAGTAAATTCTTAAAATAAGAGAGTTTAAAGAGAACCCGCAGTTAAGTAGAATTTTACACATAATAAGAAAGAAGAAAATATTTCTGAAAGAATGAATCTGGCCCAAGTCCCTATCCGATGGGTGAACCGTCTCTCTAGGACCTGAGCAGTGCCCTCGAGACCTCTGAGCACACGGGCGGCCTCGTTCTGAGTGTGAAATCATTCTTCTAACCAAGCCACACCTTGCCATGGCCTCTCTCTCCTCATTGTAAGGCAGCGGGGCACCTAGCTGACCATGAGCTGATTCATCTGGCTGCTCGTGACCATATACAGGGCTGCGGTAATTACAGGGGACATAGATGAATATGGTCACCCCGATTACACGGGACACACATGGCACTGTTTCTCAAGACCATTCCATTCTCCTGAGAATGTCTTCTCTCACCACCACGTGGCTGCAGTGGGAACCGCGTTCCTCAGCCACGTGCAGCAAACTGGGTCATAGTGAGAGACTGGAACTAACGGCCAGAGAAGAGCAGAGGTGACAGCCCTGGTGGCACTGGATTCTCTTGCTCCCAAAGGTCTGGAAGGCCCGACTGTACCAGAGTCCTTCACGGTTTAGTTTCTCAAACCCAGGATCCTTCCAATAAACTTCCCTTCACAAATGATAGTTTAAGTCGTGTCTCTGCAGCCACAAGAAGGTCAGGGTGGAAGGAGACGAATGGCCTCGCCTCTGTGCAACGTGTGAGGCATGGGTCATGGGTCCTCTGCAGGAGAGGTGAGGCGTGATAAGCCAGGAGGAATACAGATGACTAAGTTATTGTGGCTTTGGTCCCACAGTCCGCTGATCCTGCAGATAGTGAACAACATGGGTGTGACCCTCTGAAGCCATGAAACAGAGTCCAACTCCTCCTACAAACCACAGACTTTCTAGCAGTCAAACAGAGCTCTCAGGGCATCTTGATAAAAAATACTTTCAATTCTCGTATCATTTAGACACTGTCTTCTTAATGCATTCTGGGTTTTCTTCTTTCATTTTAGATTCTGAATATTAACTGAAGAGAAAGGGGGTATGCATTTATATGTGTGTGTGCATGCACATGTATATCCATGCATCTGACTGCACTCTGAGATGATGTCAGTAACACTATGTACAGGGCTTTGGCTTTATCCTTTTAAAATCTCATCTTTTTGATGTTCAACATCACTAATTATCAGAGAAATGCAAATCAGAACTACAAAGAGCTATCACCTCATGCCCGTCAGAAGGGCTATTATTAATGAGACAGGAAACAAGTGTTGGAGAGGATGTGGAGAGAAGGGAACCCTTGTACACTGCTGGGGGGAACCCTCCCACCAGTTTACACAAACTGGTGCAGCCACTATGGAAAGCAATATGGAGCATCCTCAGAAAATTAAGAATAGATCTCCCATATGATCCAGCTATTCCACTGCTGGGTATTTATCCAAAGAGCAAGAAGACACAAAGACATAGAGATACATGCAGCCCTAGGTTCATGGCAGCATTATACACACTAGCCAAGATTTGGAAGCAACCTAGGTGCCCATCAAGGGACGAATGGATAAAGAAGATGTGGTATTTATACACGATGGAATATTACTCAGCCATAAGAAAGATGAAATCCTGCCATTTGTGACAACATGGATGGACCTTGAGGGTGTCATGCTGAGTGAAATAAGTCAGAGAGAGAAAGTCAAATACTGCATGATCTCACTTATAAATAGAAGATAAAAACAACAACAAACAAACTCATAGAGACAGAGATTAGATTGCTGGTTACAAAGGGGAAGGGGCGGGAGGAGGAGGAAAGCGGTGACTGGGCACATGTGTGTGGTGACGGATGGTAATTAGTCTTTGGGTGGTGAACATGATGTAGTCTACGCAGAAATTGAAAGATAATGATGTACACCCGAAATTTATATGATGTGATAAACCAACATTATATCAATTAAAAAAAAAGAAAAAACAATCTCATCTTTTTTATTCAATTCACCCTTCCAAATTTGTTTAATTGCTTTAAATAATGAAGCTCTCTTCTAAGCTATTAGTAAGCACATTCTGTGAAACCTGCTTCTGTTTTAAATTTTAACTATGGAATAAATGGGGGAGTAACATTTGAGTGATAGATACCAGCTCCAAGCACACAACCTGTAACATCCAGGTAAACAGTATAAGTCAGTCACTCAAAAGTTTAGTCTACATGAAGCAAATTTCTGGATACAAGGAAACACTGGTCAGACTAGAGGCTTGACATGAAGTACACAGACACAGTCAATGGAGATGGACTTTTTCGATATAAGTTACCAAATAATTTATTTAATGAAAGACATGAAAATACATACAAAAACGTGTGTAAAATGTAAATTATTGTTGATAATACATCTAACATAAAGAAAAAAGACATACTGCTGTCTCAGAGATCAGAATACTCCCAATATAATAAAAAACTTAACCTTCAACATCAGCTACCTTAATTAGGAACAACTATCTCTTGACTAAAATGTTGACAATGTTACTATTCGAGAACTCGACTGCTCACAAAGCAGTTTCACATACACGATCTTACCTGATCCTTACAACCCAGTGAGATGTTGCTAATAATATGACACTGTTATCCCTATTTTCAAAAAGGTAAACTGAGACTAGAAAGGTTTGAAGACTTGGTTAAGTCACACAGCTAATGCGTGGCAGGTCTTCAGACTATGAATCGCACGTGACAACAGCCAGAAGAAACAGTTCGAGGATTCTAAGAGGTTTTAAATAAAACAGACATTTAAAAAACTTCAAATTACCTTTTCCAATTGTTCTTGAGCTCTCTGCAGTTCCTCTGTTCTCTGTGTCTCTTTTTCCTGCATTTCCAACTCCAGCTGGAATGCCAGCTGTTGCTGAACATTCAGAAAGAAATAAGCCGTATTAGAGTCAGCTCAACGGCAAGGAGTTAACTCTATCACTCTGAAATGTCCCAGGACAATTAAGCCTATGCCCACCTAAGTTTCAGAAACTTACACAAATAAATGGGCACTAACACCCAATACTTTAGGTTTTACAAATATTTCCTGAAGTCCAAATAAAAAAGGAAACTTCCTTAATCGCTAATTTTAGAAAAGCACCGTTTATAAAATCAAGTTATTTTCTCTGTTTGTCTTGAAGCTGTAAATGAGATTGCCTTAATTTTTTCAGATACGATCTCTTTAAGCATAGATAGGTCTTCAAATAGGCAAACCTTGGTTGTAGAACAGTAGATGAGAAAATCTTAAGTATATTATCTGAAACTATAGACAATCAACAACATATTTGGTCCCAACTCAACATATATGCCACGCTAGAACAGAGGCCAGCAAACTAAATTCTGTGGGCCAAATCTGACCCAACTTCTGTTTGCGTACAGCTCACGAGCTAAAAACGGTTTTTATACATTTTTTAATGCCTGACAAATATCAAAAGAATAATGATATTTCATGACACATGAAAATCATATGAAATTCAAATCTCAATGTCTATAAACAAAAGTTTTATGGAAACATTGCCACGCTCAGTCCCTTCCTTGTTGTCTATGACTGATTTCCCACAATAGCACAGCTGCAACGGAGACCACAGGCGGTGCTCTCATCTCACCACAGATGACAGTGACGCCACTGTCACTCAACAGCATTAGGAGCCCTGGGATCACCATACTGCAACAGTTTTTCATCAGTTCATACTCATCATGTCAAAACGAGAAAAGAAGTGGATTTTGAATATTGTCCTTTTGGAGTATGCATTACTTTATTATCAAATTAATCATTTATCATGCGATGACACTGTACTAAAAGAATGCAATGAATATCAACATCACCAGATTAAGCATTCATCACAACACTCTTAACTCACATGAAACCAAAGGTCAAAGATTTTAGAAAACTTAAAACAGACTTACTTCATCAGAGCAGAATTTCTTCACAAAAATTAAAAACGAAAATGAGGCTACAATGTAATTAAGTTTCCAAGTGGCCCATTTTCAGCCAAGCAAGGAAATACACTTATCAATGGTGATTTAACTGAAATATGTTTGATTTCAGTGTCCAGGAAAAAATAAACCAGTTTAAGATTATTAGCCTTTTGGCAAGAACAGTTGCTCACATAGTTGATGATACTGGGAGCGACATCGATAGTCAACTGAAAAGAGGCAAATGATTTTGAGTAGTTTTCCCCGACTCTCGATGGGCAGGCAAAGCTCCCAAGTCTGCTCAGTTGTTGTCATTTACGCAAGGAGTCGATACTGAGTTTGAAGTGAGTGAAAAATCAGCTCCTATGAATAGTCTTCTTGGGATAAATATAGGGAAGAGTATTTTCGAAGAAGTTGAGAAACATTAACTCAGCACAACCAGAAGTGAACCCTGCTGAGATGTGCTACAGCCAACGGCGATAAAAACGTGTGCAACAGAAAAAGGACAGTTTAGTTGGACAAATTTACAAAGCTTGAGAAAATACAGTGTATAAAGGCTACAAGTATTCATTGTATTATTCAATAGCAGCTACTGTGCAGAAAATATTTGAAGTTATCACGTGTTATCGAGCCAGTGGTGTCAACAGCGTCCCTCATACACTCTCAGGAACTTATCAGTTCTGTGGATTTCTGTCAGAAACAGAAGCTGAACATATATCCTGACTTGCCCTACCACACAGCAGTTCCACGGCTTCACAGTGGTAACGGTCATGTTTTATTGTGAATTTTTGAGCTCAGAGCCAAGACTGAAACTTTTCTAAATGAGAAGAACCATTCTCGACCACTATTATCCAACATAAATGGCTTTGGAAATTAGCTGTTGCTGCAGACTTAATAATGTTTTTTAATCAATACACCCTAAAATCATTAGGCAAAACAGCACTTACATGTAAAACTTAAACTGCAAAAAAGTTATTTCGACAACAATTCAGGTTGTTTGAATCAAAATGTCAAGCTGCACTGTACACTTCCAGTGCCATCAAAAAACTGAAACATGAAACTAGATGTCCATCCCACACAAAGTGGCAGTGGATGTATTTTCAAAGCTCAAACTATTGTTCAATCTATTGTATTGAATGTTTTTAGGCCTTGCTGTAAGAGCAGAGGAAATTTCCATATTTCAAAACCCATTTAACTGTGTAATTGAGAAGCATTCACCAACTCTCTTTTGGAAGTGATTATCTACAAGGTAATGACACCCTAAAAGGCACACATCAAGAGAAAAGTCTAACAGAATTCTGAAGATGCCTTCCAAAAGATGAATATGCTCAAGTGAAATCATATGCACATGGACTGGTATCAATCTTTGGCAGGACCTATCTGTGTAAAAAGATATTTTCAAAGATGAAGTACGTAAAATCTCATTACAGATCAGCACTAACAGATAAACATTTTCAATTAATAGTGATGATAAAGAACATTAACTTTGAACTCCAACTAAATGAAATGTTATCTTTAAAACTAGAATTTGGGGTCCGCCAGGTGGCACAGTGGTTAAGTTTTAGCACTCCACATCCGCGGCCTGGGTTCACCAGTTTGGATCCTGGACGCAGACCTACACACCAGCCATAGGGCCTCGCTGTGGTGGCGTGCCACACAGAAGAGCTAGAAGCACTTAACGAGGATGCACAAATATGTACTGGGGCTTTGGGGAGGAAAAACAGGAGGACTGGCAACAGGTGTTAGCTCAGAGACAATCTTCCTCACCAAAAAGCATTAAAAAAGAAAAAAGAAAGAGGGAAGATCCAAGATGGCGCCATGAGTAGTCCTCTTTGTCTCTCCCCCTTCGAGTCTACAATTATTTGGACACTCATTGCTTAACAAAGGATATCCAGATAGCATCTCAGGACGTCTGAGAGACCCACACGACTATACATTGGAAGGCAGACGGACTTCCCTCCTGGAGGAGGTGGAGATAGGTGAAAACTCTCCGAGCCCGACCGAACAGCCTAGTACCTGCAAGCGGCTTTCTTCCAGCGGATGCCCCCAGAAGATCAACACACACCTAGGGCAGGAGCAAGCACACACCAGAGGAGCGACGGTGGAAACAGGTGACCAGAACCCTACCTAAACCCCCCGCAATTACTCCTAAATGCAGAGGGAAACTCTAGAGTTACACACCTGAGCCCGCAGGGAGAGTCTCGTGTCGCCATTGGCGGGGAGATCCTGCCTGGTGTCCACGGTGCCCGGAGGGTCCCAGAGAGAATCACAGAGGGTACGGTGGGCCCCCGGCTGCCACTGCCTGCACTGTGGGGCAAGGGATTGCCGGAGATCTTGGAGAGGACTGGGGCTGGGTGAAGCTCCAGAGGCCAGCTCCACAGCCCAGGGGGGAAGCTCCAGAGTTCCGCCTGGGCAGCAGACAAAACTCTCTGTCTGCCATTAGCAGAGGGCCACGCCCAGCATTCACAACTCCGCGAAAGTCCCGGAGAGAATCCCAGAGGGCGCGGCGAACCCCAGCTGCCGTTGCCCGCCCTGTGGGGCAAGGGATTGCCGGAGATCTCGGAGAGGACTGGGGCAGGGTGGAGCTCCAGAGGCCAGCTCCGCAGCCCAGGGGGGAAGCTCCAGAGTTCCGCCCGGGCAGCAGACAAAACTCTCTGTCTGCCATTAGCGGAGGGGCCACACCCAGCATCCACAACACTGGGAGGGTCCCGGAGAGGAGAATATCAGGCAGGGCAGCAGCTGACCAGCTACCACTGAAATCAGGATCTCCGGCTATCCCCCAGACAGGGCAAAGGGCTCCCCAAGTTCCTGGGGAACAGGACTGGGGCTGGCTGGAGTTCCAGCGACCCGGCTCCGTAGCCTAGGGGGAAACCCTACAGGCTCACAGCAGCCTCAGCGAAAGCCTCTGCACAGCACTAGTAGAGAGCACCCATCCGGCAGCCACAAGGCTGGAAGACCCCGGGACAAAAGTAGCATAGTTAGGTGAGCTAACCACAGACTGTAGAAGATGCCCATAGCTCTGCTGCGACCCATAGTGGACAAGTGAGATTTTGTAGGTGCTGACAGTGACAGAGCGGCAAATATAAGTGATCCTACCCCTAGCCGCTGGAAAAGCCCATAACACCGTTGCAGACCCCAAGGAGGGAGCACGTCTAGGTGGGCTGCAACAGTAGGCACCAGCAGCCTGAAGCCCCCCCGTGACGGCCCCCATGGCAGAAGAGGGAATCCAAAGGACCACTGTGACTACGAGGAGGGGCCCAGGCCCAGTTAGCAACTGTGGATAGGGTTCCTGGTTGGTGCAGTATAAACAGCTGCTCCCCCACCACAGCAGCAGAAACAAGCGGAAGGAGCAACTAAACTCTATCTCTATGCAGAGGCATAAATCTACAACATTAAGCAATGTGAAAAAATACATTAAATCTCCAGAACAGAAGGAAAATAACAAATACACAGAAAACAATCCCAAAGAAAATGAAATATATAACCTAAATGACGATGACTTCAAAACAGCCATCGTTAAAATACTCAATGAGTTAAGAGAGAATTCAGATAGACAACTCAACGAGTTCAGGAGCTATGTCACAAAAGAGTTTGATACAATAAAGAAGAACCAAACAGAAATACTGGAAATGAAGAACACAATAGAGGAGATTAAGAAAAATCTAGATGCACTGAACAGTAGGGCCGATAATATGGAGGAAAGAATTAGCAATTTGGAAGATGGGAATATAGAAATGCTGCAGGCAGAGGAGGAGAGAGAAGTAAGACTAAAAAGGAATGAAGAACCTCTCCGAGAACTATCAGACACAATTAGGAGATGCAACGTAAGGATTATAGGTATACCAGAGGGAGAAGAGAAGGAGAAAGGGGCAGAAAGCCTCTTCAAAGAAATAATGGCTGAGAACTTCCCAAATCTGGTGAGAGAGATGGATCTTCAGGTGACAGAAGCCAATAGATCTC